CTTCCTTTCTGCCAAGCCTTTTGATTACACAAATCAGATGGTTGCTGCCTGTGGCCGCTGTATCACCTCCCCCTCCAACCCTTCTTTGCTCCCATTTATCAAGGCTTCAGCCACTGACTTCAGCAGAGAGATATCCATCTGGTGTGATAGATCTAGATGACTGGGAGTGACAGGAAGTGAAGAGCAGTGCGACGCTTTACTAATGCATGCATTTTTTTCTTTCTGACCTGCGGACGTCTGCTTGAACTTCTCGCTTTTCTTTTTCCTCCATTTCCAGGGTTTGAAAAGACGTCCCAGAGTGGCAAATTTGCTCCGCCGGCGGATGGGAGGCGTGTGCGTGCCAGGCACCAGCGAATCAGAGCGCATGGCTGCCAGTCTCCCCACCTCCTCAGCTGGAAAAGAGTAAAGGACAATGTTAAGAAGCAGGTAAATGACACCTGTCCAGAAACAGTTTCAGTTGGACACCTGTTTATTCCACGTATAACATCACAATACATGTCCTGTTTACCTAATTTTTGAGGATAGCAACAATTAGCTCCACCCCCTTTCTGTTGAAAAGTAACTGTTTTTTTTAGGCACGGGGCGATAAATGTATTAATTAAATAAAGTATAAATGCAAAAAAATGTAGTGAGGGATTGAAATACTAAACTCTTACTATTCCTCATCATTCTGGATCATCAATAAACTTCACTGCTCATTAAATCAATTGAAAATCAATTTTCAGATAATAAACCAGTTAAAAAGTCCATTATAAATTTACTTTTTATGGTTCAGAATTATTATGTTAAATTCCCCGGTGTCCGAGCATAAATCAGGACAGGTAAGGATCATTTGCACGGATCTTCATTACAGTCAACGCCATGTAACGCCTCCAGCAAAGAAAAAAAAGGCAACAACGTCACAGTGGAAATCCACTGAGGGGAATTCTGCCGTTCCCTCGTTCCAACAGAAATCTGTACCCTCCTCCACTGTTTTTTTTTAATCAGTGTCTTCTCTGAGAAGTGTAATTCCCTCTGCCCCCTCAGGGAGCTGTTGGAAAGCAATCTTACCCAAGGCTGCTCTGTACATCGCACATTTGAAAATTACACCTATTTCCCTCATTACAACACCACGCTGCTGCTGCCACATGGACACACACTTCACACAACCGTGGTGTGTGAAGTATGTGCCAGAGGTGAAGGACGGGAGGAAATGAGAAGGAAAACAATTCAACAAATTCAGTAGGCGGTGCTGAGTGTAAACAACAACATTAGGAACACATTTACAACACAGGAAGAGGGAAAATGGACACGTCACATGGTTTAAGGCCACCAAGCAGATTCGTGGATTCAAACTCTTTTGTTTTTAGCTGTTTCTTCTCTTGTCTTTATTGTCTCCTAAATGGTTTTTTTTTAGTAAATTATTTGTCATTATTTGAGCAAAAGATTTAATCAAAATGACCTCATAACTTTGGAAGCACTGACCCCAAGTGTTTATATAGGGGTTTTGCAGATTTATTTTAATCATTAATGTTTTTGTTTTTTTTAAACCAATGACACATTAGTTACTTTGTTACATTACCTTTACCAAGTTAGGAAATGAACCTGTCAGTCAAGCCTGACGTCTTTAGTCCCTGGCTTATAGTGAGGTATAGAGTTTATTAATTCAACAATGGTATTGAATCAGTATCAGACAATACGCAGAGTTCATGTACTGGTATCAGGACTGAAAAAGTCAGATTTGTGCATCTTTACTAATAACGTCACAAAACTGCTTAATGCGGCCAATCTCATTGCCACAGTTGACAAAATTGTTTATAAAAAATAGAGGAAAATGTCCTTAAATAAGATCACTGTGGTTGACAAGCACCAGGATGATATTTCAGAAACCGAAGCTGGTGATAAGTTTGTGAGCTGAGGCTGTCCCTGTAAACACACACAGGGTGTGAGTCAGAGGGCTCGGCCTCACACTGCTGGGCCACATTCTTCAGTGTGACCCCTGGGTTGTGTGGTCTAAACTCTGACTCATTCAACAGCGACAATAACAACAGCTCAGCAACATCCAGACACTCACTCCATAAACTGACTAATGAAGCGTCCCTACCTCTGTGGAGTTGTTATGTTATTACCAGAAATGACTAACATATCGATGCACTGGGAAAAATAGTACTTTCTATGAAGAGCACAACAACAGTACTGAGGCACATGGTTAAAGACACTGGATTGACAAGAGCAGTAATACTGTAGTAAAGGAAGTCAAAAGCGAATATTCTCTCCTGCTGCTGCATCTTCCACACCGGCAGATGCCCATCATCGTTTCATATCCTAGTTAAAGGAGTCAAACCTCCTCCTTATTCTCCTTAGTCCCATCCGCTCCTGCAGTAAAGTAAACCAGACTCCAGACTCGGCCTCACCGTCCAGCGGCTCCGCTGCTCGGCAGTTTCTGCAGATGTGTTTGATTTCTTTGCTGATGTGACTGTGGATCATGAACGGCATGTTGTTGTTGGTGGTGAAGCTCTGCTGCTCCTGCTCCTTCTCCTGCTCCTCTCCGCTGCTGGAGCGGGACCTGGTCCTCCTCAGGCAGAACACTCTCCTTCTCTTCTTTACTTTACGCTCATCGCAAACAGGCGCCGCGTTAAACCAAGAACAATCGATGTTAGGTCCATATCCAGACCCTGACGCGGAATCGTAACCTGTCCGTGAACACATCACGTCGCTTTCACGGTCCACCATGTTCGATCTGCTCAGCAGGACACTTCGTCCACTGCTCCGCAGAGAAGGATGCAAGGGTGTGGGGGATTTTCAAACGGTTTCCAGCCGCTGCTCTGTCCACTCAGGGGTCAGAATTAGGCATGGCATTTCCGGTTGGAATTTACAAAATAAAAGTACATGATTTCGTATTCTCGAGACAGCAGGAACACTCAAAACAAAAACAAGCTATACAACAATGACAAAAAGCTATAGGACAAAAAAAAGCTTAAGAATGGCATGAGTTTGTATCCCTTTTGTTTTTGATTCATTTTTTAGTTGATGCTACATCCTAAAACAACGAACCTAATATTTGTTAACTTAAGTACTCAAAAACTGACACAGCAATATATTAAGTTGTGAAACATTTAATGCAATTAAAAAAAGTCACTTTCATTGTTTAGAAAACATTTGAAAGTAAAAATGTAAGATAGGGCCTGTAATAAGTTAAAACATTTGCATTCACATCATGCAGTTGCAAGTATCTGCCTGCAGGTGGAGCCCAGAATTAAGTCATCCAGCACAGTGACAGACTGAAGCTGCAAGCTGAGGAGTCTGTGAGCATATTTAATATTGCTACGTCATACCTTAACTTATATATATATATTACAAAAGATTATTTAAAAAAAAAGTTTCTTATGGTCTACATCTCCAGTGTTGGATGTCAGCCACAGGTCAGACATCCAAACACCTAGATTGGCAAATACCAGACAATTGGTTCTATTTTTACCTGCAGCCTTCTGACCTCACTACCCAGAACTCCCCAGGATTTTATTACCACTCAGAGTGAATCACAGATGACAGGCCCAGTGGGACACAAAGGCTTGACAGGTTACAGCTCAATGTACTGCTGCTGGCAATTGACTTTACACCTCATCATGTCTGACGAGTCGGAATGATTTCAGATATGGGAAAAGCTGTGAAGCATACACACAGACACACACACATATACACTCTCTCGTGCACTGAGACAGACGGGCGTGCAGGTGTGAATGTGTAGACACACACTGGGGAACAGGTGTTCTCCACACAACAGAGAAGGCAGCGAACCATCGTCCTTCAGTACAACTGTCACAAGTTGTTCCTGTTTGTGAGGCTGTGAGCCCCTGACACCTGTCACTGCCTGGCAGCATCTGAAGGCAGCAGTGGAAGCAGATGTGCATCATGTGCGTCTCCACTTTACAGGAACTCTGCAGTACTTCGTCAACCACTCATACAAAGACAGAAGTCCCCGAGAGACTCTGAGACATCTTTATTCACTGGCTTTGAGCCGTGATTGAGATCCACACGTGCATCGAATGGATTGATCTCACCTACAGTAGACCTGTCTGGGTGGTCACTCACATCACTGCGGTGCAGAGCGGCTCTGGTGCAGCTTCATCTCGGAGCAGAGACGCATCGATTCGCCGTTTAACACATCAATAAAGCATTTCGAAGGAGAGTTCGTTAAAAAAACATCAGTGTTCTAAAAGATGTTAGTGCGGCTACGAATGACTTTCTTCAGTATCACAAGTAAAGTGGCAACAAGATGTGTTGCCAGTTTCTTATCTTCTTGTCATTTGAAAAAAAAGAACGGGTCAACTTTTGTTATATTTCTGCTTTTCTACTATCGGCCTTTTGGGTGCATCCTGTCGCTGTACAGACACTCACTGCTTTTCCTTCACAATCATACTGTGTCGCCTGTACCGTTACCCCACCTTTGTGTCTCTTTTATCTGGGACTCCTTTCTGTGAAACTCTTTTGTGTTGTTTAATTCAAATCAGTGCCATTCAACTGTGTTAAACAAATGCAATTAGTTATTGATTACAAGCTAGAGGTCACGTGTGTGTCAGTCCATGTGCTGAAGACTAAATGAAAAGGCCATATACTGTAAACACACTCCCTAACACCCAGTCAGATGCGGTCCACTTTCTTTAGAACAAGTGCTTCTCGAATGTTGGTGTTTTGACCCTTCTGAAGTTGACTTGAAGTTGAGACATTATTTGGAGATTTATTTATTTTGTATCACATGTGATATATTATGTATCACATTAGTCAATTTTTTTTTGCTCCGGTTCACGTGGGAGCTGCAGCAGTCTTAGCCCTACTCTAAATATTCTCTTTGGTTGAGAGAAGATGACGTCCAGCCCCTCATTTGACCCAAAGGTTGAACATTTGACTAAGTAAGCCTCTGACTTGGTGATATCACATTAACTCTATAACGTCTGCAGTTATATTTTGTTAATTAATATGAACGTCTTTATAAAGATCTTATCTGTCCGTCATAAAGCTGAACAATCTTTTCTTCCTCTTTCTTGTCCCCTTTTTCTCCGTCTGGCCTTCTGTCTCCATCAGACAAAATAATGAATCACCTGAGCCCATCGATGACGCTGCTGCTAATTTGGTCTCTGAGCTGAGACTACAGTCCTGGACAGAGATTTTCTTTGCAAATTTAATGTGAGGCTGAGACGGTGAGGGTGAACACGTGCTGTTCAGAGACTAAAACAAGACTCCTTCTGCCATTTAGCCCCAATCAATGAGCCACTGAAAAGGGCAAATGCACATATGTAGATATGAGTCATTAGTGCGTATCTTGACTGTGTCAGTCGTAGACTTCCTCACTATCCTGGTCTTAGTCAGGCTGGTCTGGATACAACTGATCCACTAAAATTAAACAACATAAATATGTATTTTTCATCTTTGATTAACTGTCTATTACAGTACATTCAGAGTACAACTTAGCCAGTTAGCCCTGGTGTCTGTGCTAGTACTGTGGTAGCTAATGTTAGCCCCGGTGTCAGTACAAGGACTGTGGTAACTATCGTTAGCTCTGGTGTCTGTACCTGGACTACGATAGTTAATGTTAGCTCTCGCGTCTGTGCTAGGATTGTGTCATAATTTGAGAACAACTATGCACATTTTCTTTTGCTAACTGAGTAGATATCAATTCTTTCACCTCTGCATCTTTGATTTACAGACACACAAACAAATAACGCAATGGTTGTTGGTGTTGACGACAATGTGAGAAGGATGACGAACAGTGTTCTGTAGATTGTTAGCAGCACAGCAGGAGCACAGGCCTCAGTACAGGACTGAGACACACTGCCCCCCCCGTCTGCCCTCCAGTGGGTAGTTCATGATAAAAGTTGTCAGAATCATCAGCCCTCACAGACAGATGGTTACACACAGTCGTCTCAGCTGATGTATCAAGATGTCAGGGGTGTGAATCAGAGATGAGCGCGGCCGCATCCATCACACTGCCAATTACTGCAGACAAAAGCTAATGTTTTATTATAGTGTTCTCGCTGCTCTCACATCACACAGAGGCCTCCAAAGTATTCCCCTCGTTTGAGTTGACTCTTCGTGACTTCACTAATCCCAGAAACTACTGTCTTCTACTGCAGAAGCTGAAGGCTGGGGGAGGGGAGGGTGGGGGTGGCGGGTTCCTAAAACCTCAGAAGAGAACAGTGAGACAGAATGACTGATATGTGAAGATGAGTGTAGTGGGTAAGGTCAAAGGTCACTCTAAGTTCTGTGTTGTCTATCATCACTTCATTTTGCAGATCCCAGTCACAGCCAAACCCACACACAATTAGGTTCAATTAATTTAAAGTGACAGAGCAGCAGAGTCTCTCTCTCTCTCTCTCTCTGTCTCTCGCTCCCCGACTCTCTCTCTGTACATGTGTGTGTGTGTCTGTACGCATCCTTGTAAATATTTGAGACTTGGTTTATTACAAGGATATGAGTCATCCTCTCTTCCCCTCTTCTCTTACCTCTCTCCTTTCCTTTCACACCCTCTCCTCCACTCTCTTTGTTATTCTACCTTATCTCCTCTCCTCTCCTACCCTCTTTTTCTCTCCTCCTCTCCTTCTGACTTTGTTCCAGGAAAATTGTGGCAGTAACTTGACCTTCAAAGGCTCAGGTGACCAATCACAGGGGGCCAAACCTTTCAAACAACTTTTGGCTCAGTCATCATTGAAGATGAAAAGTGGTCCACAACTAACTTACCAGGAAAAATAATACAATTAAATAAATTCAATTAAATGTACTAACTCAGAGTTAGATAGCCTCCTCAGCTCTGTTTTTGTCCACGTACACAATAGTTTTCCTTTCAAAACTATAAAGACGGGTGAGGGGAGAGGGAGGGACGGGGAGTCCTGTGTTTGGTAGGAGGCAGTGAAAGTGCTGCTTTGCATTTCACTCTACATCACTCCTATTTTTTTACCTACACTGCCACAGCAGGTGTGACACGCTGCCTGTCTAACCTGAGCTGACGGCAGTGTTGGTGTTTTGGCTTCAGGCACAGATGCTGCAGATTTAACTGGTCTGAAGAGAATTACCCAAACAGTCCTCACCATGTTCAGTGAACAAATCCTTTTCCTTACTCACTCTGCCAGTCGTAATGGTGCCACAAATAAAACGTCTCCATCCTGTCATCCTGTCCTCCTCCTCTGCCGCCGCCTCCTCGTCCTCCTTCACCTTTAACTCTTCCTTCTCCTCCACATCCTCTCATTTGGTCCTTCTGTGTCTCACACCTTATCGCTTCATGCTGTGGTGCTCTCTCTCTCTCTCTCTCTCTCTGTTTGTTTAAATTGGACTGTTTCGAAGTCCACAACCAATGGAGCTGCTCCAGATCTGAGTCATTACTACAGTAGAAGAGTGCGGTGCAGGTAGAGATTTAAATTTGTATTACAGGATGGCAGCAACACCGATGTAAAAATATCTGAGTCTGGTTTGGGAGGTGAACGTGGCACGAGCGATAAGACGTCTGGCAAAATCCTGGCTGATAAACTGCTGTGCACTCAGCCACCTCCTACCCACACTCACACACACACACACACACAAGCACCAAGAAGTCACACGTAAAATAAGCCTTGCAAAAATACACGTTTTTTTTTTTGTCACAACCGTTATGAATGGTGGGATTCTGTGCATACCACGTGGGCTGGATTAGTGCAAAACAGCTGCTACCCACAAACACACATGGTAGGGAATTAGCAAATGAGTGGGTGGGAGAATGATGGTAGATTGTTGAAATAAAATGGAAGTGGATATAAGGAAACCTGCGATATGTCAGGAAGGAAAAGGCGAGAATCAAGTGACGCTCGGCTGATGTGGTCGCCGGTGCTGGTTCCATTCTCCTCTTCACCTGCTGTCGACCAGGTCTATTTGCAGCTAATGGCCATGAGGAGCACACTTACAGCAGTGACACAACAGCAGCAGCAGCACAGCCCCTCACCCCCATTCCCACTGTCCCACCACTCCTTCAAATTCAAGCCCTGCCTGATGGAAGGTCTGCCTCAAAGAGAGAGAAACTGTGCAACGTCGACTCAGCACATCCTAATCAGAGCTGATGTGGCTGTGGGCCAAGAGGAGGCGCCAAGTTTTTATGGAACACAAAATGGAGAAAATTATTTAGTGGAGAAAAGAGAGAGAGAGGGGGGGTGGTGGCAGGCAGCTGAGAGAGAGCGAGAGAGGTTATAAGTAGGTGGGCTTCACTGAACAGCATGAGTCATAAAGGTCAGGATGAGGAGGGGGCACATACACACACACATATACTGTATATATATGAAAATGTTAACCAACCATATATATATATATTACTGAGAGGATGTTTGTTGTTCATAGTCTTGTGAAGATTTACGTTAGGCCCCTTTTTTCCCATCATGCACCTCTAAGTTTAGCTTGAAAAATGACCACATTTTACAGGAACTCTGTCAAATAACACCACCGTGTGGTTGGTTAAATGAGATCAGGTGATTGAGGCACTGCAGGATGAAAGAGCACTGGCTTCTCCAGCAGAATAACAAACCACCCCCCCAACCCAACCCCCCCTATTTTTATGATTTTATCCAATGGAAAACACAGACTTGATCCTAGCTCACAGCAACACTGCCAGGCTACACACACTCACACACCATGTGAGAGGGATTTCTTATAGTCGGACACGAGAAAGTGAACGTTTTTATAAACAAAGAAATGCTTCAGAGTCTGTGTTCACCAGTATGGACGCTCATGGCTGAAGAAATGCCAAGCAGTTCCTCCAGGCAGTTCCCCACTTCTGCTCAGTGGCATTTTCAGCACCTAAGGGTAGTGGACAGCTCCCCACTTATATAATGTTCCTTCTGGGGGTCTCAGTGTGTGTGTGTGTGTGTGTGTGTGTGTGTGTGTGTGTGAGAGAGAAATGTCTTGAGGGCCACTGTTGATAAACACTGACCTTTTCAAGACCAGTTGTTCTAATGCAGGCCACAGTCTGCCTGTAGGACACTCAGAAATCAGACAATACCCCTGAAGGGTGGTGAATATTTTGACAACAGCCAACTTCAAACAGACAAACAAACAAAAGATATTTCATTACACTGTGTTTATTTTTTATGTTTTTCATAGCAGCTAAGAAGCTCATAAACCAATGACTGGATGGATGACTGGATGGATGGACATAGTTCGGTTTAAAATGGTTCCAGACACAGGGAGACATTTTGCGTTGTATTTTGACACCAGTTCTGCGGTGTGTGGCGAACCAGTAGTTGAGCTCCAATCCAGTAATTCAGCCCTGAGTGTGAATCTGTGTGTGTGTAACTCCATATCCAGATGATGCTGTACATTGATACCATGGCAACAAAGGAAACACAATAACTTATCTGGCTGCAGACAACCCCCAACACACACACATTCAGAGAGGATTCCAGGGCATCCACCTCTCTATAAAACCTTTTAATAACAGCAGCATTTTTAAAGTTCACACATCACTTCACTGCAACCACAGTCTGGGTGAAGCAACAGCCCTCAGTCCATCCATCAGTGGGGGCAAATTGATGTTTTACCCCCACATTCTGACGGTGGTTTACAGACAGACCAAACCTGGCGTGTGTGTGTTTGAAGGCTCGGTACGTGGCTGTAATACCACCGTCCACCAGGGAGCAACTGAAAACCACCAGTGCCGCACAATGAAAGCCCAAAGTCACGCTGCTGCTGATAAGGCTGTGGAACCGGTCATTCAACCGACCCACTACCAACGACCCTGAAGCTGCTGCAGCGACAACACACACACGGAGGAGCCTCCATGTCCTACCTGTCTCCAGGTGCAGGGAGATCCGTGCCTCAGTGATGTAAGGCGTGTCGCTTTTAGACCGGACCCTCCGGATGGGTCTGCGGTCCAACTCCTCCTCCTCTGGGGCCGCCGCCATGTTCGGTCAGCCGGCCGGGGCAGCAGCGGCAGCAAGGGCAGCGTCCACAGACGACCGGCGACCGACCAACTGAATGACTGACCGGTGAGGACTGAGAGAGAGTCGGCGCCGCAGCAGCAGCCGCTCCTTCACCCTCCCGGACAGACGGTGGAAGGAGGAGAGAGGAGGAGGGGAGCTGCGATTATGGAGGTGTGGTGATGGGGGCGCTGTTGTGAGAGTGATGGAGGTTGACTCCCATGAACCAATGTCTGATGGCCAACGTTGAGTAAAAACGATTTCCTTCTGGTCTAGTTACACAAACTAGTCTGTGCCGTCCCCAATAAACACACAATGACCAGTTAACATTATGATGACTGGAGTTTAGACCAAACATTACCTTCCATTTCTGAGCTGATTTAATTGATAACATTTAAAATTTAATTTTATTCAGGCATTTTAAGGCCACAAAGCACGATGGGAGGAAATATAGACAGTAAAAATCGCATATATTATAATATTTGTCAACTAATCTGTGATCGGTCGCATTATAAGTTATTTCTGACTGAATCCTGAAAAATTCCTGGTCCTTAAAAACATAGGTTGAAGTGGCAGCACTATGGACTGAGTTGAATAAAAATTCATGTATTTATATAATTGTTATTAAAATAAAGTAAAATGTGTTACAAATAAATCTCGTGATTGATTTGTTCACTTGCAACCAAGATTCTGAACTATGATCCAACAACGCCCTCTGCTGCTCACTATATATTATTTTATGACCTTCCTCTTAGTTCTGATTGGTTCACGTGGTGAGAAACCGATCCACGAATGAGAAAACAGCAAACCCAAGATTGAACTTCCGGGTCTATGCACAGCTGGTTGTGGCGTTGCCTTTGGTTAAACAGGTCTGAATAGAAAAGAAATCGCACGTCTGTTCACCGTGGATTAATCTTAACCACTGACACGAAGGATTCACTTAACACTGCGCTGTGACGCTCACTGCCTATTCGGGTACTGTTAAATTAGCATGTTAGCTCCGTGAAAGTTTACAAGTTTCGTGTGCCTGCAAAGACAGCAGCGAGTATATGTTTCTTTAAATGTGCACATTAGAACAAATACTGAGGGGTGTACTGCACTTTTTTTGCATATCACAATAATAATTACCATGCACTTTTGTAGAGTAGCGCTTTGCTAATGATTATGACCTCCAGAATAAATAGAGCCCACTGTGACCTGTAAGAAATCTGCCTGTTTCCTGATGACGACATGTGATGTCAATCAGTTTGTTATGACAGCAAACTTACAAACAAATAAAATACTGGAAATGTTGTTTGTTTTTTGCTCCATATTTATACAAAAGCTACTGTTTAAAATTAAATATTATACTGTTATACTAATGAATTTTTATGACGTCTCTTAATGTTATGCTACGTTAACCCTGAGGTTAAGACACGCAGAAGTGTGTTGTTACTTTTTTACCAGTTCATTCCATGTTGGGATGTTTACATATTTTGTCTATCACTGGATCGGACAAACTGAATGTTTACATGAAGTAGAAAACAAGAAACCATACATATGAAGACACTGTTTTTAGCGTGACTAAACCATAACGTTCTTCTTCGCCCAGGCACAGAACCTAAATGCATCAGCTCACCTGCAGAGCCATAAGAAGCTCCCACCTGTTTCCCCAGCTGAAGAGGTCCTGGCCCAGCCCTGACATGGCCAGACCCAGCTCAGGTACAGTTGCATGAAAACCTACAGGCAGTAAGCATAAAAAAGAAAAAAGAAAATCAGAATAAATATGAGTGTGTATTTTCTGAACTGTAGACCTGGCTGCATTCAGGGAGATTTTCTCCAAAGCTAAGAACGTCGCCATCCTAACTGGAGCAGGGGTGAGTGCCGAGAGTGGAGTCCCCACATTCAGAGGAGCAGGAGGATTCTGGAGGAAATGGCAAGCACAGGTAGGTGTGTACCTGAGTCCTTAAAAAAACAAAACAGAAAAAAGCCTGATAGCTTTCATAAATGTTTCAAAGTCATTGTCAATGCCCAGAAATGAAATTCAACGTTGAGTAAAAACGATTTCCTTCTGGTCTAGTTACACAAACTAGTCTGTGCCGTCCCCAATAAACACACAATGACCAGTTAACATTATGATGACTGGAGTTTAGACCAAACATTACCTTCCATTTCTGAGCTGATTTAATTGATAACATTTAAAATTTAATTTTATTCAGGCATTTTAAGGCCACAAAGCACGATGGGAGGAAATATAGACAGTAAAAATCGCATATATTATGATATTTGTCAACTAATCTGTGATCGGTCGCATTGTAAGTTATTTCTGACTGAATCCTGAAAAATTCCTGGTCCTTAAAAACATAGGTTGAAGTGGCAGCACTATGGACTGAGTTGAATAAAAATTCATGTATTTATATAATTGTTATTAAAATAAAGTAAAATGTGTTACAAATAAATCTCGTGATTGATTTGTTCACTTGCAACCAAGATTCTGAACTATGATCCAACAACGCCCTCTGCTGCTCACTATATATTATTTTATGACCTTCCTCTTAGTTCTGATTGGTTCACGTGGTGAGAAACCGATCCACGAATGAGAAAACAGCAAACCCAAGATTGAACTTCCGGGTCTATGCACAGCTGGTTGTGGCGTTGCCTTTGGTTAAACAGGTCTGAATAGAAAAGAAATCGCACGTCTGTTCACCGTGGATTAATCTTAACCACTGACACGAAGGATTCACTTAACACTGCGCTGTGACGCTCACTGCCTATTCGGGTACTGTTAAATTAGCATGTTAGCTCCGTGAAAGTTTACAAGTTTCGTGTGCCTGCAAAGACAGCAGCGAGTATATGTTTCTTTAAATGTGCACATTAGAACAAATACTGAGGGGTGTACTGCACTTTTTTTGCATATCACAATAATAATTACCATGCACTTTTGTAGAGTAGCGCTTTGCTAATGATTATGACCTCCAGAATAAATAGAGCCCACTGTGACCTGTAAGAAATCTGCCTGTTTCCTGATGACGACATGTGATGTCAATCAGTTTGTTATGACAGCAAACTTACAAACAAATAAAATACTGGAAATGTTGTTTGTTTTTTGCTCCATATTTATACAAAAGCTACTGTTTAAAATTAAATATTATACTGTTATACTAATGAATTTTTATGACGTCTCTTAATGTTATGCTACGTTAACCCTGAGGTTAAGACACGCAGAAGTGTGTTGTTACTTTTTTACCAGTTCATTCCATGTTGGGATGTTTACATATTTTGTCTATCACTGGATCGGACAAACTGAATGTTTACATGAAGTAGAAAACAAGAAACCATACATATGAAGACACTGTTTTTAGCGTGACTAAACCATAACGTTCTTCTTCGCCCAGGCACAGAACCTAAATGCATCAGCTCACCTGCAGAGCCATAAGAAGCTCCCACCTGTTTCCCCAGCTGAAGAGGTCCTGGCCCAGCCCTGACATGGCCAGACCCAGCTCAGGTACAGTTGCATGAAAACCTACAGGCAGTAAGCATAAAAAAGAAAAAAGAAAATCAGAATAAATATGAGTGTGTATTTTCTGAACTGTAGACCTGGCTGCATTCAGGGAGATTTTCTCCAAAGCTAAGAACGTCGCCATCCTAACTGGAGCAGGGGTGAGTGCCGAGAGTGGAGTCCCCACATTCAGAGGAGCAGGAGGATTCTGGAGGAAATGGCAAGCACAGGTAGGTGTGTACCTGAGTCCTTAAAAAAACAAAACAGAAAAAAGCCTGATAGCTTTCATAAATGTTTCAAAGTCATTGTCAATGCCCAGAAATGAAATTGCAAAATGAAAATGTAAAAACAAACCAATTAATTCTCCTTCATTGCTGTAGACAGTATCAGGTGGAGATCAGTTCAGCAGAGTTGAGCTGGTTTTCATTTCCTGCTCAGTGTGTGTGGATTACCGTGGTTATTTCAGGAACTGGCCACTCCGGAGGCCTTTTCCCGGAATCCCTCTCGCGTGTGGGAGTTTTATCACTACCGGCGTGAAGTCATGCTGACAAAAAATCCCAACCCCGCTCACCTTGCAATAGCAGAGTGTGAGGAGAGACTCCGCCAGCAGGGGCGTGAGGTTACAGTCGTCACTCAGAACATCGACGAGCTGCATCGACGAGCCGGATCCAAGAACATTCTGGAAATCCATGGTAAATGGTCAGCAGTGAGAGTGGGACGATTTGTTGTTTGGTGGATTTGGGGACATCTGTAATGTATTTGTTTCTAACTTTAATTCTGCTCCAGTATTTTTATAGACTTTTAACCTAATACTTTTGAACCTTGAGCAGAGAAATGAACTCTTACGAATAAAGAACAGAGTTGTGTTAAAACAAATGGAATCACCAGGTGCAGTTCACATCCCGTTTCATTTGGTTTTGTCGGTGAATCTGCAGTCGTCTTTACCTCTCACTGCATGTTTTTTCTAACTAATAATCATAGAAAGAGCAATCACCAAGTGTTAAAATATCAATTATTTAAGGGGAAGAAAAAATACAACCTTTTTATCCTTTCTCTTCTTAGGGAGCCTGTTCAAAACCCGATGTATGACCTGTGGACATGAAGCAGCCAATTACAACAGTCCCATCTGTGCTGCCCTGGCGGGTAAAGGGTAAGAATGTACCCAACACACACACACACACACACAGACACACACACACACACACACACAGACACACACACACACACACACAGACACACACACACACACACACATATATATATATATAAATATATATATAAATATATATATAAATATATATATAAATATATATATAAATATATATATAAATATATATATAAATATATATATAAATATATATATAAATATATATATAAATATATATATAAATATATATATAAATATATATATAAATATATATATAAATATATATATAAATATATATATAAATATATATATAAATATATATATAAATATATATATAAATATATATATAAATATATATATAAATATATATATAAATATATATATAAATATATATATAAATATATATATAAATATATATATAAATATATATATAAATATATATATAAATATATATATAAATATATATATAAATATATATATAAATATATATATAAATATATATATAAATATATATATAAATATATATATAAATATATATATAAATATATATATAAATATATATATAAATATATATATAAATATATATATAAATATATATATATATATGTATGTATATATACATATACATTATGTGTTTGTGTTCTTTAGGTGTATGTCATTTTGTCCTGTTGACCTTTGACCTCTGCGTCCTCCTCCTCAGTGCTCCAGATCCAGACACACATGACGCCCAGATCCCTGTTGAGCAGCTGCCTCGGTAGATATCACTCTCAATGCGCTTATTTATTAACAATGACAGTGTCTCCATCTCTTCCTCCCCTAACTGTGTGTGTGTGTGTGTGTGTTCTGCAGGTGTGAGCAGGCAGGTTGTCACGGTCTCCTGAGACCAGCTGTGGTCTGGTTTGGAGAGACTCTGGACGCAGACGTCCTGACTCATGCAGAGCGAGTCCTGGACAGATGCGACCTCTGCCTGGTGGTGAGTCTGTTGACCCCTGGTACCACGTGTGTGTTTTTACCGCGTCATGAGTTGACGTCATGAGGTGTGTGTTAAAAACAGAGTACTGAAATTAAAAAAATACACAATAAATAAAAACAAATTGTAGGGTTTTTTTTATTCCCACTACATTATGATGTGATTCTAAAGAAAATAATAAATATCGCACCAAATACTCATATATTCATATTCATATATTTTTCACACTCTACAGGTTGGTACGTCTTCAGTTGTGTACCCGGCGGCCATGTTTGCTCCTCAGGTGGCGGCCAGAGGTGTCCCCGTGGCAGAGTTCAACATGGAGGACACACCGGCCACCATGAGCTTCAGGTGTGTATCACTGCCATGTGATTTGGTCACACGGCCTCAGGATCCTACAGTCTAAAGTCCTTCTGTGTTTGTGGGTCAGGTTCCACTTCCACGGTCCCTGTGGAACCACGTTACCCCCAGCACTGGTTCGGCACGACACTGAACCACTTTAGAACCTTGGTTAAAAAAAAGTGTGTGAACCTCTGGACGACGTCAGTGGGACGAGTACGATGAATGTTGGGTAAATTGGAAATATCCACGGAATGTGGAAGATGTGGAAGTGGACACGGGTGAAAACAAGATAATACAAGTCACGCATTGGATGAAATAATTTTTGATTATCATCAAGGACTTGTCACAGAGTAGAGAGGTTTTCATTTGGATTATTTACTGAAAAATACTAAAAAAGGTTTTATGCAAAACTATCTATCTATCTATCTCATGTATACACCTGCCTTAAACCTTTGCACAGCTCTGACGTCATGAGTCCATAAATCTCTCCAGGTTTAATTGCTTTTATTCATGAGGTTAATGAACAACTAACGAGGTGAATGGAATGGAATTAAAGAAACTGCCGATGTAATTCCTGTTGTTCCTGTTGGTCCTTTTGCCGTATGTATCTGTTGATGATTTACCAGTAGGGGGCAGTGTCTCACCTCTGCTACAGCTGCGTTTTTTCCCAGTTTGGTTTCGTTTTTTTTCTTGGACAATTTTAATTATCTAAACTCATAGACTGTGACGATTGTTTCCAAAAGCTACAAGGTTAAAAAGTTAAAGACTACAGGCTAACACGGGGAAATGAACTCGCAGCAGCTGTTCACTGTAATTACAACCACAACGACACACACGCCTTCAGACTGTAGTGAACAACAACGTCTGAAACTGAGGCCGACTTCATTTTCACCTGCAGAGACAGCAGGCACAACTGAAGACTGCGTTAGTTAGTTAACTCAGTGTAGTTACTGTGACATGGTTTAACATGGTTTAAAGTACTGTAGTAAAGATGAAACCAGCAACTCCTAGCACACTTCCAAGGTGTGGATCAATGCCTGTTCAGGCTATTGTCTTTACACCCTGTCAGAGTGCCTGTTGTACGGCTGTTGTTTGGCTGTTGTACAGCAGTATGACAGGTAAAGGGCCATGAGCCCATGCTTGTCACAGAGCTGGAACCCACCGCTCGGTAAAAGGTGATGTTCTGTTTTGGAA